AGGCCCTCTGCCATGGTACGAGGCACAGATATGGGGTCTGACCACACCAGGTCCACCTTTGAGATGACCTAGTGGCTTCATACAGCATGCCAACATTTCTCAGCTGTCAAGCCGATTGCCGTTTCTGAATTCAGTGACTTCACCTTGTCACATGGAAAGTCACAAACCACAGAGACGATCTGTGCACACAGTAGCAAAAAAAAAAAAAAAAAAAAAAAAAAAAAAAAGGAAAGAAAAGAAAAGAAAAGAAAATGGAAAACCACCAACAACCTAAGAACAAATCAGGGATGGGATGCTGGAAGAAGGTCCTTCTGTGGGCAGCTTTGCTTCTTGCCACACTAAGACGAGGACACCAACAGTTTCATGCCATGTTACTGTTTTCAGGTGGAAGGTTTAGAAGTGGATGCAATATTTCTTTTAAAAAGATTTTTTTAAAATGTTGCAAAATTCCTGTGATTAAGGATTCTTCAGTTATAAAAATGTCCTTGTGGACCTGTTATTGGTGCCTATTCACCAATATAACCTTATAAATAAGTATATTGCCTTATAAATAAGTCATCCTTGTAAGCATAGTAAATGGCCTCTTTTTTATATGAAACAATGTAACAAAAATAGAATTACTCTCTACATTGCTGTGGATAAATTATTAACTCCAATTGGCTGAACTAACAAACTACTCTCTCAAAGATTCGTGTTTGGGAAATATTCCTGAGCAGATTTCTGACAGTTTTAGTACTGTTATCCAAGGCTTAATGCATTTCTTTAAAAAATTTATCATATAACAAAATATCTAACAAACAATATGAAAAACAATGCTGAACGCAACATCACAAAGTCTTTCCAGGCTTCAGAAAGCAGGCGCTCAGTGTATTACGTTAGTTCTTCCACTTGCCAAGCAGAGGCTGCACGTGCTGTTGAATGAGGCTGTGGTGGAAGCACAGTGGCTTCCAGGTTATGCCTCAACAATAGACTCCAGCACCACCGTGCTCAGCACAGCTCCTCAACCTGTGCAGTTGTACCCCTCGCACGGTGATATGGGATTCTCACCGTTTTGCAAAACAGCCATAAGCCAATGTTCAGAGTCATAAGGAAGCTTTTACACAGTTCTTTCCTTGGGGTCAGGCAGGGCTCACCTTCATATTTTATTAAGCATTTATTATTCTCTGCTGTTACAGTTTGAAGATGGTTTCTATTTCCAAACTCATTCGGGAGTTTAATCCCCAAAGTCAGATGTTAATTGCATTGAGAGAATGGAAACTCAGACCTACCATGGTGTTTAAAGGTGAGGTCTCTGGGATGTGATTAGGTTAGATTAGGTTATTAGGGTGGAGTCCCAATGATTGAATCTTAGGGTGTTAATAAGGAGGAAGAGAGGAATCACACACCCTCACCGTGATATGACATAGCCCAAGAGGTCCTTACCAGAGACTGTGTCATGTTGTTTGGACTTTGTACTTCCAGAACCATGAGCCAAAACCAGCCTCTTTGCTTTACAGATAATCTGCCTCAGGTGTTCGTGTAGTAACAGAGAGCTTACTGATACATCTATCTGCCTTCCTTACCATCATGATCTTGGGCACCTAGGCTCTGTGCTCTAGGAGTTCATGGTCCAGTAGTATGGGGTTGGGAGGGACGCACAGATCAAGACAGGATCATAGGAGCTGGTGAGAGGGCTTAAGACTTAGCATCTTAGGGGCATCCACTTCTCAAGGGCAGGGGCAAGAGATCAGAGAAATCTTTCCAGAGAGACAGCAGGGCCAGGGACGGGGGCAGCCTGGGATGGGACAGCATGCACAAAAACTGTGAAACAACAAAGCTAGTTCAGAAATGGCCAGGAGGTCTGTGTGGCAAGTGGGGAGAAAGAGGGAAGAGAGGAAGGGATGGTTGTCCACAGTAATGCAGATAACCTGTCTTGGTTTCCTTTTCTTTCAAAGTGTTTTTGTTTTCCTCAAATCAGGATGCATTTCTGTGCTTCATTAAGTGGAGTTTTGTCACTCTCAACACTAAGTTAAACGCTTCCCATCTTCTTTTTCCTCTGCAAGTTTCCATTAGCTCATTGGATTCAGAATTGCAAGTCTAAAATGAAACACATTAAAGAGATTTATAGCCAGTTAATCGGTTGTCTCTGTCTCAGTTACCCTGTTGTATTCAAGTGTGTGCTTGATTATGTATCTAAATAATACATTATTGTAACATACCTTATTCACAGAAGATGATTGGGGAGTTTATGTATAAATTATATGCAAGATAAAAAGGTAATTCTTAAACTTAATGAAAAAGCAGTTATTTCCTGACCCTTATACTTAGAAAAAAATGGGAGCTTTTCAACATATGTTAATTAATCTTACTGAGAAGTGAGATTAATCTTAGAAGTAAAATTAGTTCACATGCATTGAAAAGGTCATATGAAGTCACCGTAATTCTTACTTTCAGATTGTAATTTAGAATTTATGTGATACCCATTTAAATTAATCTGCCCTCACCATGCCCCCAAATGGTTTGTGCCCATATAATTATTGTTCATATTTTAATGGTGTCTTTTTTTGTAACATGTATTTAAATATATTTCAGCTTCTCTTAAAATTCTGAACTTTAAACTGGGTGCCATGGTGTGTGCCTGTAGTTACTCGCAGGTCCAGGAGTTTGACACCAGCCTGGGCAACATGAGCCCTGACACACACACACACACACACACACACACACACACACACACACTCACAGACACACAAATTAAAAATGAATAAAATAAAATTCTAGGCTTTTAGAATTTTCGTAAATAATAAATAGTAGCCATTGTGATGAGGGCGAGAAACCATCAAGAAAAGGGAAAGTACATGTGAAGCTGAGGCGGGAGTTAGAGAATATCAATAATGTTTGTTGTGTCCGTGACTTAATGGCAATAGGGAAATGTAACTGGTATTTATTGTAAAGGTCACATTTACTGACCTTGGATTGTGAAGCTGCTGCCCTGGCTTCCATTTCTCTCTCATGCCATTTTTTGAAAATGCCTCTGGAAACCTTCATTTATAAACGCGTATTTAGGGAGAACATCTCTCCTTTTGTTTTGTTTCTCTACAGTTGGGGTCATATGACATGCGATTCTATGGTGTGTTCTCTCACTTAACAATGGACCATTTATAATAATAATCCCTGATGATAACAGCATCGATTATGATAGGTGCTATGTTAAGCAACATTGCATGCTTTATTCTTATGACACAAGCCATGGACAGACGAAGATGCTGAGGATCAGAGAGGCTAAGAAATGTACTTAAGATCACACAACTAATAAGTGCACAGGGGCCGACTGCAGAGCCCGGACCCACAGTCACTCTGTTTCCTCTTCATGAGCATCATGAGGATGCTCTGTGTCAGCCCAGACAGATCTGCTTTGCTTTCTTTAATGACTGCCTACAAACGTCATCAGCGCCCTAGACACTCTTCTTAGACCACGGCTTCAGTGCTCCTGCTGTGGCAGACTTTAGCACCCACCCTGCATCTTTCTGTCTGGGAGCTCTTTTTCAAAGTCCCAAAAGCCCACAGGCACTCCCACCCACCACCAGTGGTCCTCAGGTTAACCCCCGGCTCCCTAACCCTGGCAGGGTAACTGAGATGTGTGTTCCACACTGCATGGAGCTGTGGGAAGGCTGTGGCGACCTACTCTATGAAAGTATTGTAATTTATTCATTCAGTCTCCGGTGGGTGGATTTCACAGGATTACCCATTTTTCCTGACTTTACAAATAACTTAGTGGTGAATATTCCTTTGTTATTGTTACAGGACTCCTGCCTCATGCCTCAGCACCCCCCCATACACATTCACACACACTCTGCCAAGGCCAGCAGCAGTGTGGGCCAAGCCCCAGCAGGTCTGTTACCACTGATTTCCATGAGGGTGCTCTGCAGTGTGGGGCTGACCATGAAGTGCCCAGCATTCATACTTACGGACTGGTTGGGGGGCTCCCTGGTTCAGGAGAGAGGCTGGTTACCGGGACACTCTCAATTAGCAGCATGTGTTATTTCTTTCGCGGAATCACGTGGGGTCGGTAGCCAGAATGGATGGGGCTGGTACACTAATTATGGGTGACTCACAGTTCATGAAGATGAGACTCTTCAGGACACATGTTGTTCAGGGCCCCACACACCTACGGGCAGCCCTGTATGTGCCCTAGAAGTTTTAGAGAGCTGATCTGAGCAGATATCTCCTGAAATCCCTCAAACTTTTCTCTCCACCAATCAATTCAGACTTACTTGTTGAATACTTACCCAGGTTGAGTTTGGGGACACGGGCATATAAAATGATTCTTCTTGAAAATCTTTGGAAAACTTTTTAAGAAGCACAAAAAAAATCACAGCCTGACTTCAAATGAACACCAAGAGTGCACTCAAACTCTGGAGGTACAACTTGTGCTTCGAAGCTGCCCTCCAGGGGACTCACTGGAGACCACCATGCCTGGGGTCACATAGCCAGGTCTTCACGTGTGGGTGACCTGTGTTGTGATGGCTCATGATGAAGCATCCCTTCATCTCACATCAGATAATAGTCCTGAGACCTCACATCATCAGAAGCACATCTGAAGTAAGTAAAAGATGTGGTGGTTCTCCTCCCACCTGCATGGCACTCACACCGAGGTGATAAGACTGGTAATTTTATTTCTATGTTTCATTAACAGCTGGGGAATCTATAAATGCAATCAAAGGAATTAAAATAGTATAAGAACCACCATCAGCCTACATATGTTGACACACACATGCTTGCACACACACACACACACACACACACACACACACACAGGTAATATTGCAAAATTATCATTCCGCTTGAGTTCAGATTGAGAAAGGCAACGGCTTGGTTTCTTATGGTTCGATTAAACACTTGGGTTTCTATTATCAGAACTTGCTCAAATTTTTAACTTTCCAGCCTTCCATGGACCTGAGTGACTATATATTTGTGTTAGAAGACACGACATAAAAATCACACCATGCCCCCTTCCTTCTCAGGGTCAACCAGGACCACTAGGGCCACAGGGTCCAATAGGGCCCTTGGGGCCCCCTGGGCCCATTGGGATTCCAGGAGAGAAAGGACTGAGAGGTGACGTTGGCCTTCCAGGAGCAGCAGGGGAGAAAGGAGATAAGGTAAGACTCACATTTCCCTCTCACCAGTACTTGCTCTGCTAGGTTTTTATGATCACAAGCAGTACGTACTCACATCTTGTGATAAATCAAGTCTGAATTCCTCTGCCACACCAATCCTCATCCCAACTCCCCACTCCAGAGGAGCAGGCCCAGCTAGACCTTTCTCTATACATTTAAACCCCCGAAGTGGGTGACACTTAGGAGTTGCGTTGTTTAGGAGGTTGGCAAAAACCTAAATTACATAATGTCGTGTATCCATGCTAAACTCTTCCTTTTTCACTCAACAACATGCCTTAAAGATTTTTCTATATTAATTGATATAAATTGAATGTATTCCTTTAATAATATGGTATCAGACACCATAGTGTGAATAAGACTGTATTTTATTTCCTGCTAATGAGCATCTGAGTTTCTACCCCAGCTTCGTTTAGTCCCAGTGTGCAAAAGTAACCCCACATATTGCTGTTCACATTGAAGAGTTTGTTACTCCAGGATAGATTGTGAGAAGTTAAATTTCTGACTTAGCATGTTGAATGATATATTTGAATTGGCACTGCAAATTGCCCTCCTAAGTATTCACCAAAACACTCTTAATCATTGGTGCTTAAACTCAGGAGCCTAGGACTAGGGGTGTGGCTCAGTGGTAGAGCACTTGCCCACTGCACATGAGGCCCTGAGTTCAATACCCAGCTCATCCTCACCTCCCCCTCCCCCAAAGATTAAACTCATCAATATAAAAGCAATGACCATTAAGTGTGTTTTAATGCATCATCAGTTATTCAAATTGTTGTAAGTCAAATTGTTAATCTAAGAATTTAGTAATTTTAAAATCTGTTTTGTTTTCTGGGATTTTTAGGGTCCAACTGGTGTTCCTGGATTTCCAGGTTTGGATGGTGTACCTGTAAGTATCACTAAATTTTCTCCATTTTTTTTCAAAGAAGGAAGAAACATTAATTAGAACCTTTGAGATCACATGTTCAAAAAGCATATATATTGGGCAAATTGGCTTTTATTTTGTCATCTTGGTGCAGGGAAGAGTGCTTACATTTTAATTTTATGCAATAATTCTAAAACCAAAATGTTTTCTGTGGAGAGCAAAGTTTTCAAACAGATAAGGGAAAACCATTCAAGATGGGAACTAGATGCACTTGCAGTATCAAGTGCAGTGTTCTGAAATAAACGTATTGCTCATAATAGATGTTTTATTTTCTGTTGAGTCTTAAGATTGAAAATGGGCTTAAGACTCTCATTTCTAACATGAAAATCAGATGAAAGAATGAAGAGATATTTGGGGGCCTTTGCAATTCATTCATTAGATTCTAAGAATTCCAAGCAAAGTTTTCTCCAAAATCTTCCAGAACACGCCAAACTAAATTAATTTAAGTTTGACATATTACACATTTTTTATTTTATTTACTGTATTTTTTGGGGGGGGTGGGTATCAGGGATTGAACTCAGGGGCACTCAACCACTGAGCCACATCCCCATCCCTATTTTGTATTTTATTTAGAGACAGGGTCTCACTGAGTTGCTTAGTGCCTCTCTAAATTGCTGAGACTGGCTTTGAACTTATGATCTTTCTACCTCGGCCTCCCACCGAGCTGCTAGATTTACAGGCATGCACCACCACATTCGGTCCACACTTTTTATTTTTAGTTTCACTCTGCCACACAGCACTTTTAGGTGGGAAAGGAAGTTTCACAAAATTAAACAAATAAAAACGAGAGTCACAACTGCCATAATTTGAGATCCATGTTGCATAAAACTTTGTGTTATAGTATTCTTGCAAAAATGATTATGATTTTGTTTTATAGGGTCACCCAGGGCCTCCTGGCTCCAGAGGCAAACCTGGCTTGAATGGCTACAATGGCTCAAGAGGTGATCCAGGGTTCCCAGGAGAAAGAGGAGCTCCTGGCTTGGGAGGCCCCCCAGTAAGACACCTATAGCTCACCCTCATAGGAAACTTAACTGAAAAGATCCCATGGTAGGAGTAGGTTTGGTTTGTTCAGGAAACAGAGTCTGGCAAGTGTGCCTGGAGCACGGTGAACAAATGAGGGTAACTTGGGGTGGGGGTAGAGAGGTGGACAGGACTGGAATGAGTGGGGACTGATAGACTGTGGATGGAACCAGATTTTCTTTTCCATGAGGAGACACTGAATAGTTTTAAGGAAAGAAGCAAATTTATTTGATTGATGTTTCATTAAGATGTCTTTGGGTGCTGGATAGTAAAGAAAATGGAGTAGAGAGGCCAATTAGCAAGATTTATATTGCTTTTCATTCAGGGTTTACTTCCGTCTAGGTATGTCAAATAGAAAGGATTTAATACAGGGAGTTTGCACTTATCATCCCAGTTAGAGGTGTGGGACTCAGTCCAACACAGGCTACTGATTCCAGGGCTCACGCTTAGCTGAGATCCAGAGTCAGGAATCTGCTTGTCCACTATCCACTCTCTCTCACCGTTGTGTCCAGATACCAGCAAACAGGTTTCTACTTTTCTGTTTGGCAGCAGCAGCTGACCAAGACAAGGATCTCTCCCTCACTCCTGCTTTCCATATCTTCTGGGTGGAACTTAACTCACATCCAGCTGCAAAGAAATCTGGGAAATGTACCTTTTCTCCTTGTAGCTTGTGTAGGGCAAGAAGATAAATTTGAAAGGATGGGAATGGAAGTCTAGAAACTGGACAATAGTCAGCTCTCGAGGACAACTATGGTGCTCTTGACTTTAGTTTTCTTTAAAAATGTGGACTTCTATTTAAACACAGCTTCAGTCAAGGATATTCTTTCATATTCCCTTTCTCTCCACCTGTTATTTGTCCTCTATTCTTTATATTTACTCCCCCCCGCCTCAAACACACTTAAATAAAGATCCAAGATAATTTGACCTTTCAAAATTTATTTTCTGTGACTATTTTGCAACCTTTCCTCTTCCCTAATTAAACATTATTTACCAAATTTCTTCTAAAAGATTTTCATAGAATCACCACCAGAGTCTTCTACTTTCTCTTCATGCATCTTTCTTTGGCTCCGCATCCCAGTGGAACTAATCTGAATACAGAATCCAAGGAAATTCCATGCTCACATTTTTCTTGTGGTGGCACATAGGTGCCATAGCCATCTTTCACTGTGAAGAGGCTCTGCCACCTTTTGCTGTCACACTCAGTCATTTGGAGATTCGAGCACAGGCTGTTGGATGTACATTTCTTAAGCTCTTCAAATTGGACCAAACCTTATTCCACTGAGCCACGCACATCCAAGACAGCAGGGGTTCCAAGCTGTAGTTTTGACCCAGCATGTAGCGCTGACAGTAGTGCTGAAGTGTGGCACTGTGGTCTCTTTGCAAATCAACTTCCTTTCCTTCCCTCCCTTGTTCTGGAGGCAGTCAGTCCTTGCTTTGCACGGTAATGTGACAATGGCCATGCAAGCTAGCACCACAGAGAGCATCCTTATTGACCCATGAGATAATTTAGTATTGTCCTGTGACATTTAATAATATGTTTTGTTAGTGTTAAAAATTCCTCTTACTGTCACTAATAAAAATAGAAATGAAAAATTAAAACTACTATTTACCTAGTATTCTATAATTTAAAACATTGAGAATCAAAGGGTGTTTCATTTCTTTGTTAAACACTTATCAAGAGTAGTTGGAACTGTGCTTGTATTCTTGTTGCATGATTTATGAAACCAAATGAACATGTTTTCTATGCATTAGCAAAATGTCATACTCCTTTGTAAGTGTGGACTGGTTTTCATTGTGGTGGGGCATTTCACAGGGTTCCTTTACTGGGAAGCTTTTGCCTGTGTCATATCTTCATTCTTTCCATCACAACCCGTTTCTCTTTATGTTGCAGAGTTTGTCCCCCTGCCTTCAGGCTGTGTGTGTGGAGTCCCTTCAACAACAGTGGGGTCCACATTCTCCTGGTCAGCTCCATTTGGAGGTCACTTTCAATGTAGACATTTTCTTCATTCATTTGGTCTTTGCTGGCTGATTCCCTCTTTCATGGACCCATCTTTGTAACATGTCATTTGGGCTGGGAGATAAGAGACAACACATCTCTATGTTTTGCTATCTATGTGTCTGTGCATGTGCTCTGAATGATAGACATGCAGGAAACAATCACAGGTAGGCTTTGAAAGAATGACATCGTCTTTCAGTGATCATGACTGACGTCTCTTATTCCTGTAGTGACCTGTGCACTGAAGAGCTAGCAGGGAAGTTTGGTCTTTCTGCAGTTATTCAACTGATTTCAGTTATGATGGGAACTAAAGTTTGGACCCTGTTGTTGGAGGACTTGGTATTAGTTAACTATGGAACTGAATTCATGCAGATTGGACCTGTATAAAGCCAATTGCTCTGTATAGGCACATGTGAGTCCTCAAACTCTTGATGTCACTATAAAACCCTTAAATATTTCCCATATGAAGAAAACCTGGTGCTCTTGTAAGTCAGGTCAAATTTGAAATTTGTATGTTTTTTTCATAATAGTTGGAATGAAGAAGGCAAAATTTTTATAAGGCAACCAACTTTAAATATATTAAGATATTAAATAGGATATTAAGATTTAACATAGAAAAACCTCTGAAGGAAATACATTGAGGCTTTTCATTCACTTTAAAAAAAAACACCCTAAGCCAATAGCAGCTACATACAAAAATCTTCCCCAAAGAACATGCTATAGTTTTGAAAGGTTAGTCTTATATAGAATATAAGCTCTATTTTAAATACAAATACTGAAATGGGCAAAAAACAATACTTTCATTTTTTAACTTTTTCTCGTGCATAGATTAAAATTGCAGAATTGGATATTTTTAAGAATAATGTCTATACTTTATATGGTGAGGAAAATGCAATCTTCTTGCTGAATAATGAGTAAATAACTATATATTAGTGAATACTTTGTCTTAGAAGATTCCTTAACAGACCCTAACTATATGAAAACTTTCGGATGATAATAATAATTAAGATGATAAATCTCCACTAGTGAAATTGCTCCAATGGCAATTTTACTGGTGAGTAATATTTCATATAAAAAAGAAAATATTGAAATAGTAATATTCTTTTTCCTCTTAAGTGAATATTTTATTTCCAGGGCCTTCCTGGAGAATATGGAGAAAAAGGAGATTCAGTGTTCATTTTAGGTATCATTAAAGGTATTCAGGTAAGTATTATGATCATTGTGGGTGGAAAGTTTTCTTCTTCTAAGGAGGTGAGCTGTGTGGGAAACACTTGGACAGGGATTTCCTGAGGAGTGTCACTGGATGCACTCATTTTTTATCATTGCCCTGACATACTTAGATGGCCCCTTGCTTCTTGTGTGAAGGCAATGGCCTTAGCTGCTATGGCTATGTAATTCCAGTGTCTCCTCATCTCAGAGTTGCAAGGATACATTTATTTCAGCATTTCTCAAGTTGGCATTTGGGGCCAGGTAATCACTTGCTGTGGGGGCTTTTCTGAGCATTGTAGGATATTGAGCAGCTCGCCTGGCCTCTGGACTCGACCCACTAGGTGCAGGTAGCTTCTCCAGATATGATCAAGTGTCCCCTGATGGAAAATAAGCCCTTGTTGAGGACCACTTATTTATTCATAATTAAAATATTCTGATTAGAGAATTCCTTGTCTTAAGCAGAAACTAAATAAAAACAGTCTGTGGATCAAATACCTTTGAGAAACCATGCTCTTAAGTCTATATCCACTTCTGACCCATTCAGATGGCTATTATAAAAAAAATGACCAGTGTTGGCAGCTACCCAGAGAGTTGGACCCCTCGGTCATTGCTGGTGGGAATGTAAAATGGCTTAGCCGCTGTGGAAAACAATAGAGCAGTTCCTGAAAAAATTAAACCCAGGTTCCTATATGACCCAGCAATTTCGCTTCTGGGGTACATAACCCAAAAGACTGAAAGCAGAGTCTGGAACAGGTATTAGTGCATCCACAGCAGCATTCTTCACAATTGCCCCAAAGTGGAAGTTGCCCAGGTGTCTATCAACAGATGAAAGGATAGGCAAATGAGTATGGGTGGGTGCATTCCTACAAATGTGTATTCTTCATCCTTAAAAAGGAAGGGAATTCTGACACATGCAACAATATGCATGAACCTTGATCACATAATGCTAAGCGGAATAAGCCAGTTGGAAAGGGGTAGATATTGATTCCACTTACCTAAGGCCCTCGAGTGGTCAAACTCCTAGAGATGGAGAGTGGAGTGGCAGTTGCCAGGGGCTGCGGGGGCCCCTGGGGGAGTTAGTGTTTAATGGGTACAGAGCTTTCTCTGGGGAAGATGAAAAAGTCTGGAGATAGGCCACCGTCATGCTTGAATAGTAATGCGCATGCACTGAGTGCCACAGAAACAACTGTACGCCCCAAAGAGGTTAAGATATCTTATGCATAACTTATATTTTTTAAAAGAGTCTATATCTAAGTGAATACACACCTAAAACAGGTTGAGTCTCAGGGCAGAGTCCATCATTACGTCTGGACAGAGGCAAGTGTGAGAGACACTCCCCAGAGCCCCTTCTACATCCCCTCTAGGGTGGTCGAAGGAGCAAGGCCAGGTGTGGCCATGAGGCCAGAGACAGGCAAACTGCGCGGAGGAAGGGCCAGTGCAGTGAGAACTTAGGCAAATTTAAACAGAAAGGCAGTTTTCATCTTCATTCTATGTCATCGTGACTTTAGAGAGGATACAGTCCCCACTGAGTAGAAGGAGAATTCAGGGCCTGGGAATGGAGAAGGACAGTCATCTCCCCAGTGTTGATCTTCCCAACACTGAAAAATTGAGCAAACCCCACCCTTAGTCTAGTCCAAATAATTCCTATGTGTGTTTCTATTTTTACATCCTGTGTGTTTTAAGGAAATTGTGTGGCTCTTATAAAACCATATGTTGCTATTTTTACAGGGAGACAGAGGGGACCCAGGACCACCTGGCTTACCAGTAAGTCTCCCGAGCATGCTTCTCCCATGCTTCTCTTTCTTCTGCAAACAGCCTACCATGCACACTCAATTTTAAACCCAGCAGGACCAGCTGCACAATTTGATGGTCCCACCTAATTCCAAATGAAAATGTAGATCCCTTAAGTAACAATTGTTAAGAACTTCAGCTGGAGACAGCAGAGCATGAAGTTCATCTGTGACAGGCACACAGGTTGAGGCCCACAAGGCAGGCCTTGGTCTCATGAGGCCTCCCCTTATTGTCCCTTCTCTCTTAACCATCATTTGGGTTGATCAGGTCTATGCAGACACTTAATATTTAGGAAGGTAAGTCTGCTTAAAAACCACATATATAATAGGCCTCCTGCAAACACCAAGTGGAAATTATTTTACTCTGCCTCTCGGTGCCATTTTTGCTTGCTGAATCAGCAATTGCATATCCTATTTAATATTTTGCTCCACATCCCCTTCCCTGAGATGTCTGGTTCAGTGATGACATTAGTCTTGTAGAAAATGAGATGTCCTTGATGGCACTGTTAAAATAACAACAGTCCTGTTCATTCTCCTAATGAGAGTGATTTCATCACACACTTGCAAATCATTTGACAGGAGCAGTGGAGCAAAGGGCCTCTCTCCACCCTTCCAGGGTGACCCAACTGTAACCATTCCTTGCTAAAGTGTTCACGGTTATGCCACATAAAAGGAAAAATGTAATAACCAACCTAGGTGCCCACCAACAGAAGAATGGACAAAGAAAACGTATATATACACAATGAAGTATTACTCAGCCATAAAGAAGAATGAAATTATGGCATTTGCTGGTAAATAGATGGAACTGGAGACTATCCTAAGTGAAATAAGCTAGACTCAGAAAGTCAAAGATCAGATGTTTTCTCTGATACGTGGAAACTAGTCTCAAATAAGGAGAAAAAGAAAGAAAGAAAAGGGTAGGGGGAATTCCATCAAAATAGAATAAATATCAGTGAAATAAAGGAAAGGGAGTGAGGAGATGGTAGGACAGACAGGATAAGGGAGCAACAGTGGCTGGATGTGACCTGCCTGCCCTATGTATGTCTATGAACACATCACAGTGGGTCTCACCATGAGGTATATCAAAAGACACTAATTAAAAAAAAATCTCCATGTAAATAGCAGAAATCAGTGGAATAGAGGGAAGGAAACAGAGGCAGGTAGAAGGGAGGGAAAAAGGAAGGACTGACTTAGAGAAATTTATGTTCCATGCTCGTATCATTGTGTAAGCTATACACAAGTCTTCATGTTATGTATAGCTAAAAAGAGTCAATAAAGATTATAAATACATGAAAATTTTAATATTAATTAACATAAACTAATATCAATGTTTTTGAAGCATGCTGATATATACCAAAATAGCAATATATAGAAATTTTAGCAGTCTAGCCGCAAGTTTTCTTCTCAACTTTTTTTATACAAGGTTTATTTGTAAAAAAGTAGATTGATTTCTGGGTGTTTACAGGACCCTACTGTAGGGTTTGTCCCACCACCTGGAGATTGCCCCCCTCAGGCTCTGTGGACACTGCTCCAGCTGAGGACCTGTCGGGGGGATTGATTAATTTGATGGTTTTTATCTATTCTGATTATGTGGCTCTTGCTGTGAGGGTGATTATGATTTATCAAAATGAATGTGCTGATTTTTCTCCTGTATAGGGACCTAGGGGTACAAGAGGACCAGCTGGCCCCATGGGATATCCTGGAGCACCGGGGTTAGTGGTAAGTACAGCTCTGCTGATGCTATCCCTCTACAAACCCAGAGTTGACATTAAGATGCAGTCAAAAGAAAAAGAAGAAATGAGAAAGGTCAAGTTTCAGTCGTGGTTCAGGCATAGGTGGGCTCTTTGAGAGGTGATAAAATCTGTCCATTTCAACACAATCCCACCATTACTCTCTGGAATCCGTCTTCACACACAGGGACCCCAGCAATAAGCCACTGTCTTCACATTCATATCGAACTGTAGCCCATACACGATAAATAAAAAGTCAGTCTTTTGGAGCCTGAGGCAGGAGAAGCGCAAGTTTGAGACCAGCCTCAGCAACTTAGCAAGGCCCTAAGTAACTTATTGAGACTGCCTCAAAAAAAAAAAAAAAATCAAAAAGGGCTGGGGACTTAGCTCAGTGATAAAGCACCCTGGATTCAATCCCCAGTACAAAAAAAGTCAGCCTTTTATGTTTTTTATTTTTAATTGTCACATAAAACTGTACATATTCATGGGGTTCAGTGTGATATTTTGATACATGTTTACAAGTTTGGTGATAAATCAGAGTAATTAGCATACCCATCACTTCAAACATTTATCAAACCTTGTTATTTTTCAAACTTTGTTATTAATAATAACTTTGTATATTTTTCAAACTTTGTTTTTGAAACATTTAAAATCCTCTCTTCTAGCCATTTTGAAATATACAGTAAATTATTTTTAACTATAGTTGGCCTGTTTAAAACTATAAAACACTAGAACTTAATCTTCTTAGAAGAGTACCTAAATGTTGTGCCCATTATACAACCCTTCTCCCCGCCCTTTCCTCCCCTTCCCAGCCTGTCCAGCCTCTGGTATCTACCACTCTCCTACTCTCTACTGCTAGAAGATCTTTTTTTTTTTTTTTTGGTGGGGGGGCTTCCACATATGAGTGAGAATATATCATGCACATTTTAAAATCAAATGTTTGTTTCCCAGATAAACTTAGGGCAACCAATAAAAATATATTCTGATCATTGTCTAGGAGAAAAAGAAAGAAAGAAAAGGGTAGGGGGAATTCCATCAAAATAGAATAAATATCATAGGATAGTCTAGGACTGATCATTGATTTGTGGGTTTTTGTCATTGATTTAGGGACTTCCGGGCCATCCTGGGAATCCAGGTTTGAAGGTAGGTGGTCATGAGTAAGATACCTAGACACAGCCCACGCTCAGTGAAATACTGGCCACCTGTATCTGTCAGTTATCTTCTTCCTCCTATCAAAGTATTTAAACCTCAACTAATTTATTTACTTAAATGTTAATAAGTAGTCTTGATTAATTTTAATTACCTTTTTAACATTCAAAAGCAATTAGATTTATTTTCTTTTTCAGGGCAATCCTGGTGTAGGAGTGAAAGGTCAGATGGGAGACCCGGTAAGGACCCCCTTTGGCCACGAGGAGCCTGGGCTGAAATGTGCATGCCGTCTAGTTGTGGAGGCTCTTGGATCGTTGGGTTTATGTCTAGTGTCTCCCTGATTTTATGACTGAGAATTTCTCTTTTATGAATGATTATGGCACCATTACCCCTGACTATAAAATGGCAGTTTTGACCAAATTTAACACTATGTTCAAGTTAATTTATATGACACATTTCACCCTAGCAAAAAGAGATTTAGTATTTTTGATAATATATCTAGAGTGGCAGTTTTGTGTAATTACTAATTTATTTGAGTTAATTTCATTAAAATCCTAAACTCCATACATAAATATAAGTAACTGGATCCAAGCGCATTTAGTAACATGCTCTCCCTCCCTCCACCTCTCCTCAATGTCCCCTTCACCCCCAACCCCCTCAGGGTCCCCTCTCCTGCCTCCCTTACACCCACAGTCCTTTCTGCTGAAGCATGAAACTTAGTAAAGATAAGCTTGAGAAGAGTGATTTAAAATGGCAGCTATCTGGAAAGAATCTGAACGTCTTAGATGAGTGGCTCTTTTAGCAACTGTGGGCAAGTAGATATTGAGAATCTCTTCTGTGTAAGGCCAAGATTGACACTGAGTGTGGAGACTTGTTAGGACAGACCTTATTCTTGCTCACAGGGGGTTCTGACATGCTTAAGTTTGAGATAGTCATTTTACAGAAAGTCATTTTACTACACAATAGTCAAAAATACGTAGGAAGCTGGGCATGGTGGCCCATGCCTGTAATCCCAGCAGCTCAAGGGGGCTGAGGCAGGAGGATTGCAAGTTTAAAGACAGTATCAGCAACTTAGTGAGGCACTAAGAAAATTAGCAAGACCCCATATCAAAATAAAAAATTCATAGGAAGATTTCATGATGTGGGGAAATATTTATGATAGACTGTTGATCAGAGAGTACAGGTTACAGAAGTAGAAACCTAACATTGCATTAAAGAGGGATTTCTCAACCTCAGCACTTCTGATAGCTCACTATTATGGGAGCTGTCCTGTGTATTGCAGGATCTTTGGTGGCATACTGGACCTCTCTCTGCCCACAAGATGTCAGGAGCATCTCCTCCATGCCCAGCCCCCATTTTGACAACTAAAACTCTCAGTACATTACCAAATGTCCCCGGGGGAAGGGGTATTCAACCCACCATCAAACCTCTCTTGAATTCCTCTAAACCTCATTTTTCTTCTCTGTAAAATGGGTGTCATATACTGCATAATTGTAAGTATTATTTTATTGAATAGATAATGCACATTAAATTTTACTATCATACATAGAAAAGAACAAAGTAAATTCCCAAATATATAATTATTAAAACCGTTATTGAACCACTGACTTATGACTGAATGAAAAATACACTAAAACAATATTTTTTGAACTTGGGAAATTGGGGACCCTCAAGAATACCTTTGCCAAAGCTGCAAAAGCCCACATGTCCATTTGAGACAGGGTGTCATAGGGCCAGGCAAGCATTCCAGCCAGGGCCATTCAGTGCCACGGCAGCTGGATGCAATTGCAGACTCAGGCTATAGAACAACATGGAGGCATTTGGCTCTGGGCTGGCCCCTCAAATGATCCAAAAAAATGCTTATAGTCTTTTCGATTGGCAGGGGAATGAAAGCATCATTTGGAATTTTGGTACAGATATCTCCTGTGCTCAAGAATATGTTTTCCCATCCTGTTTTAAGAAACAGACCTAAATGGATGTGACTAATTATTCCCAGACAATCTGATTATGGACTTTTTATAGTTCAGCCTTTGGGTTTTCCTTCTTTGTTCTTTTGACTACACTGAATATGTGGTACTTTCATAGTGTGAAAAAAAATAATACCGTGGCCCATACTTTAAAGACATATCAGGTTTGTTGGCCTCTCAGGTTTCATTTGAGGTCATCTCAGAAAGGAAAGTCCTCACCCATACATGCTGCTCATTTACCTGAGTGTTATTGATCTGTAAGATGCACCATGGAGAGCAGTTGTTACATTGCTGTACATGTATAGCCACTTAGTAATGCTAAATGTGAAGTGCTGAGGCTGTGAGTCCCCTAAGTGTGTATTGTAATGTATTTTTGCCTTTACAGAGTTGATTTGATATATCTGTGACCTGTACTTTCTGCTCCACTTCTATTAGGGGCTTTTCCTCCATTCCATGATGTTTTCATGTATATTTTTGATACTTGTGTTATGCTGTTAAGCAGCCAGGATGCATCAAGAAAAATTGAATAATTCTAAGCCTAGAATAATGGTAATATTCACAAAAGTATAAAATAATTACCTTCTACTTAAGGGTGAGAATTAATGGCAAAATCAATTTAAGGGACTTTTTTTTTCCTTCAAGAGAACAGTATCTATAATGACACAAATAAAAACTTTTGGCTAATTATTTTGTACAGAGAATTCGAAAATATTATTTAAAATAAATATGAAACAACTTAAATTTTTTTGAATGTAAACTATAAAAAGACTAACTCTAACCAGAGTGGAATGGCTTATATATTATAGTACATTCTTAAGATGGATTATTTGGTAGCCATTAAAAATCATGATTCTGAAGTTTTAGTATGATAGGAAAATTATCACAAAATATTGTCATGAAAATATAAAATTACTTAAGAATTTAATAAAATAACAATTATATTTTATATTTTAAATCATGCTTAAGTAATTATATAGTATTATCCTCATAATAGTACATGTTAAATTGCATTTAACAAACCACTTATTCACATATATGTATATACACATATGTCAATACATATTATATATGCACACATATATATGTGGAGATACATACACCACAAAAAAATTATACCAACCTCTAATGGAGATCATATCTAGATGGTAAGATTATGGATCATTTTGATTTTTTAAATTTGTTTTTAACCATAACCATTTATTACATTTTAGTAAAAAAAAACATGATAAATATTTTAAATTATATGATGTATTTGCCATGATTGGTATTTTAAATTTATGACATTCAGGATTAGAAGCATTATACATCATACATGGGTGAAAGTTTCCTTTGTTTAAAAATGTGAATTAATATGAAATTTCTATTCTCTTGATATTTTTAAAGGGTGAGGTTGGCCATCAAGGTTTTCCTGGACCCACCTTATTGATAGAGCCCCCTGATTCTAGTCTCTTCAAAGGAGAAAAGGTAACACCCCGCATAAGTCATCTTGGTGAAGTTGTAATAGAAAACATTCTCTGAGCATGTACCTATGGCCCCAGAGTTCTGAGCTCCTCATATGCATCCCTGCAACCCCTGTTCTCAACGCTACCCAGCTGCTGAGTGGCAGACCTAGCTGGGCTGCTAAACTGTGTCACTCAGGTCCCAGTTGTCCTTCAGATGTTGTAGATGGATTTAATGTTTTGATGATTGAAAAGGTAACAAATGCACATAGGTAGACACATAATAGACACTTTGCAAGTAGGAATTCCTCTGTCAGCCTCCAGCATGGATATTACCAAGTCCACATTAGGCTCTGTTGTAGTCAATTTTTAGTTAAATTTCCCCGCCTGACTCAATATGTCCACTTCTTTCCATGGCTGCATCTCCAACCTGCAGAATTCCCTGTTTGTATCCCTGGTTCCAAGGTAGTCCACCCCCATGCTTCTATACTTCTCCTGTGGTCTGAATAGGGTCAGAGTTGTAGTGTTTGGATCTCAGCTGCTGACTGTGACAGGTGATGGACAATTCCTCATTATAATATACAGGTGAAACAGGGCATCACAAGAAGTGATTTCTGGAAGAGATAGAATTCAATATGCTAAATAATAAGTCAGATTGTTTCCATTGGGATTTTTAGGGTATAAAAGGAATTCGTGGAATGACTGGATTGCCAGGACCACCAGGACATAAGGTAGTTTATTTAAGGACCTTTTAATTTTCATTGGTATGAGATGCTATCTTAATTCAAAATTTTGCACGATCCTTAGCATTGCTTTAGATGCTAACATATCTTACTAGAACTTTTCACCTTGTTATAATCCTATGGGGCCTCTATTCTAAAGTAGTTTTCTGTAAGCTGTGGACAGTATTTGTTTTTCTGTTTCTCATCTTGTTCTTTCTTTCCATGTTGATGAAATATTGTTGCTTGAACCTTTCTAAACATTGTCATCTTTTAAAGGGAGAGCCTGGTATTGGTGAAAAAGGAGAGAAGGGTATTCCTGGATTCCCAGGACCTCGGGTAAGGATCGTTCATCTTAACTCTGGTTAATCTGGAGTCCAGGATCTTTCACACATTTATGTGATGAGCTCCTATGAGCTCAAAACTGGAGAATACCTCACATAAGAACAATATACTTTGCACCACAAGAGTTGTGTATGTCCCAGGACATCCCTTCTGTTGACCTCATTTAGATGAAACAAGCACACAGAAGACAGAAGAATTGGGGAAAGGGACAGGGTGGTGACATCGTCCTTCTGGCTCAGAGTCAATGTGACAGTCACTTGGAATGGTTAATTTAAGGCCCTTTCATAAAATAAGGTGCTGGTCCAGGGATAGTTGCTAGAAGAAAAGCAAATAAAAGCACAATGTCAAGCCCCAGACATCATACATGTCACTAGTGGGATGCTCCACGGGGTCACTGTGGAGGCCAGTTCCCAGATGGTTCGGGCACTGAGCTTATTTGACCCTAGATTTGGTACTGAATGGTTCAACATTGGCTTCCGTGGCCATTTTTATTGGTGATGTTGAGTAAAGCAAGTATGAATTTTCAGACAAATTATATTGCAGTGATTTCAAACATTTTTTGTGCAGTGCAAGAATTAAGTTAAATAAAACTGGAAGAACATCAGCAATAGAAACACATTCTTAATTGAAACACTGGCCATCATGAGTTGTTTTTAATAAGACTGAACATCAATTAAAGTATCAGATGTCATAAAGAAATGGAATCCTTTTCATATTTATTTCCTTTTATTCATCTACCTTTGTAAATAAGACTAAATATCCATAGAACAATCTAAGGTTAAAAAAATGCATTGAGTGGACATATGCATTTTGATTTAACCCTGCTTGTTGATATTCATCCATTTATTAGGGTGACCCTGGTTCCTACGGATCTCCAGGTTTTCCAGGATTAAAGGTAAACATACACCATTATAGTGATGATAAATGCATTTTCATTAGCAAATGCAGTTCAGAATCAATCACAAGTTGCCCTATTGCATGCCAACATTCACAGAATTGGAAAGGCCAGCATTCATATTGTGGATTGCAGGATTTAGCTGTGGGTGCAAAACCTGAAGCACAAAACTGCCTGATGCAGCCTCAGAGCAGTGTTGAGAGAGGGTCTAAGTGAGCATGCGTTGTCCAAATTAAATGAAAATGAGGCAACCTGTCATCTGATCATATGTCATTTTTTAAAATGAATGTTTTTGCTTGTTTTTAGGGAGAACAAGGACCAGTTGGAGATCCTGGGCTATTTGGATTTCTTGGCCCAAAGGTAAATGACTGAAACTATTTAAGATAAAAATTTATACCATTTATGTTATCAAATTTATTTTAAAAAGTATTTTTAAGAATCAAAAATGTAACTTTCGAAAGAGTGAATTTTATGTACATTATTTTTATGTGTGCCATACATCATTAGGCATGATTACCATGTTATTATATCATTATCATATTAAGCATGATTATGATTTACAATTGAGAAATAATTCTTTTGAAAGGGAGTTATAGTGAAAGTTTCAATAATTGCATGGCATTACATAGTATTGAGATGGGGTCTTGGAGAGCAGTCTGCTTTTACCACCATAGCATTTTTGTCTTTCTTTTGTAACCTCTGTGACCTCACGTTCAGTCCTAGCTCAGGACATGGTTAAGGAAGACAATACTTGCATCTAAAATAAAATGTAGATTCTGATCTTATTAGGTGAATAAACTATTTGCATTACAGTACCAAGTGATCAGAGTACATCTAAGAAGTTGAGTGATTTCTGGAGGATTTAATTTATGGGAGTAGAATAATTTTGTTGGAGTTAAAATTTATTTTTCTTTTGTGAAAGCTTTGTCAGTTTACCATTTAACTCTATGCATCGGCTGGAGATTAGGTATAGCTTTGTCCTTCTAAGATTCCATAAGTCAATCATTTCTCTAGTCAGCCTATAATCTTGACTTCTTATAAGAATGCACACAGTCCTTCTAACATATGTTTAATACCAAGGCAACACCATTGAAATAATAGTATTTTTGAAAAAAATTGAATGAATAATTTCAGGGGGATCCTGGAGACCGTGGGTACCCTGGACCACCAGGTGTTTTGGTAACTCCGTCTCTTCCACTCAAAGGTTTGTGTTCCTTTTTATCCCCCCATAATTTTTGCAGAAATGGGATTTCAGTGATCCAGACAAAAGAGTCTGGCCCAGTGGTCTTGTAGCTTGTACATCAGGAAGGTTAAATACATAAAGTATAGCAGGAGAATAGATTCTACGTGTGCAGGAAAAGATGCAGAGTTGGGCATCCTAGTTCATGTCTATTACCATAAGACATCACATTTTATTTCAGTAGGTAAATTGTATGCTAGGATTTTTATTATGTCATCCATCAGAAAATAGTTTTATTTAATTGCCAAAAAATGGACCAGATCATTTTTTTACTAACACCAACAAGATGCTACAGCCAAGAAAGGCATGGCCTAAATCAATAAGAGAACTCTGCTCGAAGTTTATGTATTTGCAGAGAAGGAATGGCAGAAGGCGATCCCTTCTAAGATATTCCACTTAAAAGGTGGCAGGAAACTTGCTAGAGTCTCCTAATTAGACTTTACCAAGCCCCCCCCCAAAAAAATCATTGTGTCTGAATTTTAAAATGTATACTAAATTTTGTTTATTCACATCTGTCATGATCTTTGGCAGGTCCTCCAGGGGACCCAGGGTTCCCTGGCCGCTATGGAGAAATGGGGGCTGTTGGACCACCTGGTCCCCCAGGTCATCCTGGCAGACCAGGGGACACTTGTCCAGGTAAGAACCCACTATATCTCATATGCCAGATTTCCTATCTCACACCCACACCTGTGATCCTCAACTTTAGTTGAGTTTGAGATCAGCTCTAAAGAAAACTGATGCTTGCATTCAGAGCAGATTCAAAGTGCTGGGTTCTGTATTTCTAGTGCACATCTAGGGTTAAGGAGCATTGTGCACAAACCAGTCAATTACTTACTTGGAAGGAATATGGGTTCCTCAGCTGGACCTCAGAGACGGTCAGTCAACAGAGTGGTGTTGCGAGGAAGGTGTGGGTCTTATAACAGGCCTCCTACAGAACTGTCACCTGCAGACACTATGGAATCTGCTGCTGGGTTATAGTGTTTCCTCAGCCTCCCCACTCTCCTGGAAGGCTCTCCCTGTTGCCACCGACTTGTAAAATTCTCCTTATCCACCTAGGCCCCAACCTAACTCTTCTCCATGAAATGTGCAGATAAAAATGATGATTCCAAAAGGAAACTTTGATTTAGCCTTACTTCAAAAACAAGAGGCTTTCCACTCTTACCAAAAAGAGCCCCCAAAACTGTAGGTCACAGTGACATTGGACAAAAAGCCTGGGAAAGAGTCCAACTGATATAAGGACTCTAACTCCTCTGGGAGCTGTGCTGGTCAGTATTCCTGGCGAGTTTAGGGATCAAAAAGGTTGTAGGATGTGTGTGTTCTCTGCACCCAGGAGAACTGACTACATCTGTGGAATGAATGTGATTTTATCTAGCCAGGACCTCTTATTATATTTACCAAGAGGGCCTGAGAAGTTTCCCGAGATATTCAACTTTTAACTTCAAAATTCTTGTTTAATGATCTACAAATCTACCTTCCTCTTTGACGACAACAAAAGAAATAGGGCTTTGTTTAATTCATTTAAAGCTAATGTAATCTTGGCTTAATTAACGCAGGATTATGTAAATCAGATAGAATACTCTGTTGGTCAGAAAGCACTGAACTTTGGCCTTAGATTTCTCCTTTGGGGCTTGTTTATAATAAAATAATGTCTCCTGGAGATTGAAATCAAAACACAGTGGGAGGAAGTAAAAAGTGTCGCTAGCAGATTCAGATCAAAATATACAGGAAAACTCTTAATTCCACAGCCCTTTTCAAGTAAATCGACCCAATGGTTTTTGAATCTTGACTATGAACCATCGTAAGATGGGCTTTTATTTTACATTACATGTACAGCTTTCTATCCACACAGATTGAAACATAATAATACCTTTTTGGTATAAGATACATTCTTTTTTTTCCATTTCATTCTTTTGAAAAAAAAATTTGTGTGGTGTTAGACACAATTTAATTAATGTCATACTCTTCTGTGTGGGGCAAGGCTGAGATATGCCGCCCAGATGGGTCAGCTTTCTCCTTGGCCTGAAACAAGACATAAGTTAGCATGCACATCAACCAGACTGCATGTGGAGAATCCAAGTCAGCTCCCCAAGAAGGCAGGAAGTCCAGATGGCGGCCAAACACACAGGGCCACACTTTTATCTGTTCTAAATACACCCATAGTTTTAGCCCTGTTATAAAAATTTTATTTGATAATTATCTGTAGTATCTACTATGGGATAAGAAAGGCTTCAGAGTCAGACAATGAGAACCCAATCCCAGCCTTACCTTTCAGTGGAAACCACCTAATACAATATAGGATAGTAAAACTCTTAGAAATTTACACTATGAACTAGAAACATTTCAATTTCTACTACATACAAGTTTCCCGTCTGTAATAGGGAGTCTTGTTAGGGTTGAAAGAGTTATACGTAGACAGTCCTTCAAATTCAGCCTGCTGTACAGCAAAATCTCAATGTGTCAGCTATTACTATTGTCACTGATACTTGGCCTAAACTTTCTGGGCCTTATCTGTAAGGTATAAACTCGGCAGAGTTCTTTGAGGAGGAAAGAATTTTTGCAAACATAAGCAAAGCCCCAGCACATGTGCATACACTAATGGTAGCCATTACCTTAACCAGCATGCTATGCTTACCTATTATGACAGGTTTCAGTTGTCCGCTGCTGAACAAACTACTTAAAACCTAGAGGTTTGAAGCATCAGCAATCAGTGTGTCACCTCTAACTCTGAAGTTCAGGAGTTCAGGAAGGGCTGAAGGGAGCCATTCTGACTTTTGGATTTTCCCCCATTGCAACCACAGAAGGGGCTGGAACAGGAGATTCAGGCATGAATCAGCATGTCTTTCCTGTTGCTCGTATAGCTCCAGGCTCCCTAGGGGGGCTCTCTACCTAATTTAGGCTTCCTCACAGCATCAGGGACTGCAGAGAATTGAGATTGTTTGGTCACATCAAACTCCAAGTCCCAAATGTCTCAGCTCACAAGGCAAGAGTCTTCCACAAGGGCCACATTCAAGGGAAGGGAATACCCCTTTTCTCAGTAGGGAAAAGTCAAGGTTCTAGGGGCATGTGGGACTGGAGCTATTGTGGGGCCATCTTTGAGAAATGCAGTCTTCCATGGAAAGATTCAGGAACCAGGCAAGCTTAGGCAGAAGGAGCTATCAGAAGTGATTATTCTCATCCCAAGCTTCCAGCCACTGTCGTTAAGCCACAGACATCACAGATGTCAAGGGCAGGCAGGATTTCCTGCAGTTGTATTACTTGTTTGGACTTTGTCTGAATACCCTGAACCCCTTGTTATTGCTAAATATTGTGCTAAACTCTTTGAGTGGATTATTTTGTTTAATCTTCATAACAAGCCTACCAGGTAGATACAGAGGATTTGCTAGCTAGATAACCTATTTAAGACCCGGTAGCTAGAGCAAGAGCGGCCAAGTTCAAATCTCACCACTGTGCTTCCCCACCACCCTGAGTTGCTGTGAGAAGTAAGGTATTTTATATTCCACACAGATAATATGTGAATCTATGTTTTTAGCCATTACATGGACTTGTAGGTGTATTTGAATTATTTTTTTTACCAAGTTATTAAGGTGGAAAAATTGAAAAGGTAACAACTTTAATTAAATAAAATGCACTTCTTTCCCAGTAACCCTAAAAATGTGGGAAAAGTAAGAAAATTTGATTCTTCAAACTTGTCTGTTTCCATTTGTATCCTTTATTCAAAGGAGGTGAGGCATTTTAATAGCTGGGATATTCAGGGTTTTCTTTTTTTTTCATTTTCGCCTTCCTTAAAAATATAGTTTTTTTCAGATTATTATAACTCCTGTTTTATAGGTAGGTAGCAAACTTATGGAAAAACAAAATTCTTAAACATCACCTTTTTTGTTACTTATTTGGAGCATTATCATAGAGAACACTTTTCTTTTTATTAAAAAAAAAATAGCTTTGTCTTCCAGGCACAGTGGGACATGCCTGTAATCCCAGGGAGGCTGAGGCAGGAGGATCTCAAGTTCAAAGCCAGCCTCAGCAATTTAGCAAAGCCCTAAGCTATTCAGCAAAATCTTGTCTTTAAATAAAATGTAAAAAGGAGCTGGTGGTTCAGTGGTTAAGTGCCTCTGGGTTCAATCCCTGGTACCAAAAAAAAAAAAAAAAAGGTAATTTTTTTCTCTTTTGCATTTACTGGCATTTATACTACATTTGATATGTGCAGGGTCATTCAGAAAGAAGGACTTTATATTCAGAGAGAGAGAGAGAGAGAGAGAGAGAGAGAGAGAGAGAGAGAGAGAGAGGGGCTACCTGATTTTCTGATGTAGGCATATGGTGTGAAATGATCACCACATTCCAGTTGATTGACATGTCCATCACTTCTATATAGTGATCATCTGTGTGTGTGGTGAAAGGAATTAGGATCTCTCATTTAGCAATTTCAAGTACACAGTCCAGTGTTGTCAACTCCCACCCCATGCTGGAGTTAGAACTCCAGAGGTGCCTCATCCTGCATAGCTGACTTTGAACCCTGGACCGACATCACCCCATCCCCCTTCCTCCAGCCCCGACATCCTCCATTCTACTCTCTGCTTCTATGGGTTTGACAGTTTTAGATGCCACATGAAAATAAGATCATGTGGTCTTCCTCTTGCCGGTGTGGCTTATTTTACTGAGCCTAATGTCCTCTTGTTCCATCCTTTTCCCTTTAAGAAACCTCATGATCTGGATAAGAACACACTGATTTTTATTTCATCTACAGAAATATTTACTCTGTGTGGTTTTTCATTCTTAATTTCTCTTGCAGGCATGGTGGGACCCCCTGGGCCACCGGGGTTTCCTGGTCCTCCTGGGTTTCCTGGGCTAGCTGGAATTCCTGGGAGACCGGACTCTGCCCCAGGAAAGCCGGGGAGGCCAGGACTACCTGGCCAGGCTGGAGCTCCAGGGCTGCAGGGACCCCCAGGATCAGATGGTAAAGTATTCCTCCTTTACACTCACTGGTAGTTACACTGCATTTGATAGGTGAGGTTCATTCAGAAAGCAGGACTTTCTAAATATCAAAAAAGTATATCATGTTTCATGGGCCAACTTGATGATATCAAAATCTATTGCAAATATAAGCTGAAATTGGGTTATCATATCAAAATATGTGCAATTATTTGAGAGTTTAAGTACAAATGACAGAATTTTATAAATAAATATAATTTTTATTTTTATCAAAGTTATAGATGGGTCTGATTTAAAAGTCAAACTGCTCTACAGGCCTGTTATGAAGAACAGAAATCTTAGAAGTTCTTTTTTCTCCAGAGATGATGATTATTGCAGCACACATAACTGGATCTTTGTTATGTGTTTCCATATAGTGATTCAACATACTTGAATTGTAGTTCCTTAACTTTTCAGTTTGAGCCCCCCCCATAGAAGATGAATTTAACTCTCATTTACTACCAACCCACCACACATGTGAGTGTTCTCTACCCCATGACCTATTGATGTTAATATGATTTTGGTCACATAAATATTTAGTGTTTACACTTAATGGTTATACAAATATGTTCACCAGCTGAACCACATATATATATATATATTTTTTTTAACTTTTCCCACAGCATTTTGTAAATCATATTTCTTTCTTTGTGTCTTTGCTTCATTTCAATATAGTTATTATTAACTAACTTCAAACCACCCAGAATGATGTAAATGTCATTATTGTGCATTCTAACTCATTAAATATTCTCTAAAGTCTTTCCTGGAGCTTTTTGGTTTCTTCAAATTATGTCTGGTTGCCCTTTTGATTTGTTGCTGAGATTCTGTCTTGGGATCATCTTTCATCATTATTCTGAGAATTTTCTTCCTATTCATATTTTCTCCCCCTCCCCCACAACTCATATTACTTTCAATGATATACTCCCTCCTCCCTTATTACATTTCCTGAAAAAAAAAAAAAGGTCTGAATAAGAGCATAAAGTTGGGAATCTGGTTTGAAAATGCCTTTATTTCACTGCAGAGTCTGATTGATAGTTTGGCTGAGTATTAAATTCCAGATCTTCTTCCTCAGAATTTTGAAGGCATTCTCTATCATTCACTAGACTCCGGTGTTGCTTCTGCAAAGTTCAATGACATTTGGAGACTTGACCCTTTGTTTGAAATCTGTTTTCCTTTCTGGAAGTTTGTAGGAGCTTTCCTTTGTTTTCAGTGTCTTCACAGTGATGTGCCTTGGTGTGGGTACGTTTGCATTTACTTGCCAGTATTCAGTGGCTTCATTTGATTGATGTGTTCAATTCAATACATATCCTTCACTTCTGGAAAATTTTCTTCAAGTATTTCTTTGAAATATCCTCCCCTCCCTTTCTCATTCCAGACTTTGTATTAATTTTTCTACTAACAAAAAAACTAATCTCTCTGGATTAGTCTTCATCTTTTGATTTTCTACATTTTTTGGAGGAGATGTCATTGACTCCATTTTCCAACTCTCACGATTAACATGTGTGTTTCTGTTGCTGAGGACTGTGTTCTTCTTTATTAACGTTTCCTCTTGTTTCGGGGTGGAATGCTCTCCCTCATCTGCTATATAAGTTATCCAGTTTCTGTAAAAGTGTTGTTCTTGCTGCAGTGTCTGTTTCCTCCAATTTCAGGGTGTTACAGTTGGAAGGGATATTGTTTGTTTCCTGCTGCAGTTTTGGGGAAGGGGCTCTTCCTGTCTCTTTCTTTGACAAATCCCTCTTTGAGCCTCACCTTCATTCCAGTGAGGGCGGATTCTGATACAGATCCAGTTCTTCCCCAGCTCTCCCGACAGCCTGCTTGGATTTCAGCATTTTTAGGGTGGACAAGGATTTCCTGCCTCATTTTTTGCCTGTTTGTTCCTCTTCCTTAGTCTTGTAGATTTATGCCTTTTTCTAATGGTCTTTTACTGTCTTTAATTCTACCAGGATTTAGGGAATTTATCATTGGCATTTTATCTGTCATCTTTAACCCAACGCCTCTGACATTTTGCTTTTCCAAGCCATCTTTACGTTTTTCTTCATTAACTAACGACTAATATTTGAAGGGAAAAAATATTTCCCATACACCCCATTGGGGGAAAAAAAAGAAGAAGAAGAAGAACCTTGTTTGATGTGTTTTTGTGGTTGCTGTCCACTACCTAGTTCTGTAGCTCTCTAACTTACGACTGAGAGTAACGAGGATTCTGTCAGCTCTTAGGCCATGCCACGACAGTCACATGGTCTGTATGTGTTCATATTCCTGTATCAGGAGAGAGAATCCTTAAGGAAAAAGGGATTGGAGCTTGGGGGTGAGAGAGGAACAGGGAGGGGGAGGAGGAGGACGTGAGTAAGATATTCTCTTTCAATAGAAGACATTAACCAAAACGATGTGACTCTCCCTGCCCCTCTTGCCCACTGTACAGCCATATATTGTAGTGCTGGGCACCCAGGACCGCCAGGAATAAAGGGCAAAGTAGGTCCCCCAGGAGGAAGAGGCTCAAAAGGAGAAAAAGGCAAGTATGCTTCCGGGGAAAGGTTTTTGGAGACGACCCCACGTGCAGGGTCTGGGGGTCTGTGAGGTGCACTGTGGGACGGTTCATCCCCATTAGCCACCCACCTTGGCTGTTCCCTATGAGGACACCTCAGCATTCTGTGCTGTACTGTGGCTATGTCACCATGACGTCCACTCCTGTCTCTTAGCCATGAATGAAACTCACACCCAAAGGGTGACTCACAAGGTCCTCTTATATATTTTATATATTATTTTGTTTCCTTGATTATTCAGGGTTTATCTCCTAACCTATTTACTTGTTTGTTTCCTCAATGGAAATCAAATAAAGACTTCTCAGTCCTTCAGTGGAATTGGATCTCAGTTTTCTCCCTAGAATTGATTAGGGGGAGTTCATTAAGACCCGAAACATTCCCTGTGTTTACATACACTCACCTCATAGGGACCATGCCTAGCTACCCCTGAAACCTGCCCCATGCTGTATCCCTCATAATCCTTTGTAATAAGAGCTGTGTCTAGACATCAGAGTCTTTTTGTTCTGTATTCACACGACTGGTTTTGTATAGAAAAGCTCTTATTGGGGATTTTGTTCAGGAAATGTGACAAACATGACTTTTATCCCTTACCTAGGAAATGAAGGACTCTGTGCCTGCCAACCTGGTCCTGTGGGCCCGCCTGGCCCTCCAGGACTTCCTGGGAGGCAAGGGAGCAAAGGAGACTTAGGACTGCCTGGCTTTCTTGGAGAAAGAGGTGACCCAGGCCTTCCTGGTCCTGAAGGATCTCCAGGGCCACCAGTGAGTACCTCCTACTAGTTAGAATCTTTCCAGCTACAGAGACAGAGATAGAATTTAGTGGGCCTCTTTCTAGGTCTTAATATGATATATATTTTATGCTTTGAACCTGTGAACATCTTAATGACTAAGAGGTTAGGTACTTGGGGCTTCGGGTGTAGCTCAATGGTAGAGCGCTTGCTTAGCATGTGTGAGGCCCTGGATTTGATCCTTAGGACCATATAAAAATAAATGATTAAAATAAAATAAAAGTATTGTGTCCATCTACAACTAAAATTTTTTAAAAATAAAAATATAAAATAAATTTTAAAAATTTACCTATTTTCCTTCATTCTTCCACCCATCATTCATTTATTCAACTAATTAATATTTATTCAGTGCCTACTATGTTTCAGGCACTGCTCCAGGTGGGAAGGACACCAGAACAGTCCCTTCCCTCCCGGAGCTTCAGGAAGGACACAGACCATGTAACAGATAAGTGAGTAAATACAGGGCATGGCAGATGGTGACAAAGGCCATCACCATCGAGTGTGGCTCCAGTGAGAATGAGGGCAGAGCAGGAAGAGATGGCCTCAAAGAGGTGGCTGGAGTTAGGTGTGGCTGCAGAGCATGGTGCTTGGCAGGTGAGGTAGATCTGAGCTTTGGGCATCATGAAGAGCCAGGGACACTCATTTTGAATAAATCACTCCCGCTGGTTTTTCTGTGCAGAAAAGACCACAGACAAAGGAAGAAGCAAGAAGCTTAGCCAAGGAATCCTGATGACACTGGGTTAAAGTGGTGGAGCTGGGCAGGGTGAGAGGTGATCCCATCCTAGGTAGATTCTGAAGATGGAAGCAACAGATTGAGTGTTAGCTTGAACAGAGGATACAGAATGAACAGAAATCCAGGATGCAGCTGAGTTTTCGGCCTGAGTCTTTGGAAGAAGGTGGCCCTAGACTGAGATGGAGAAGGCACTGGAAGGAGCCGGCACTGGTGGGGAAGGAAGCAGTGCCTGTGGGGCATTCCAAACAAGCAGGTGTCTACTAGACAAGCAAGTAGAGTTGTCACGGAAGCAGTGGGAGGATTTCAACTTCAGGATTCAGACAAGAGGTCTGGGTTGGAGGTCCAGATACTGGCTGTGTCAGAGTTTTCGAGATGTTCCGTGCCAGAAGGTTGAGACCTAGTTCAAGTTCTTATTTTCTAAGAGTTATAAATGAGACTTTCAGCTGTCTGACCCCTCAGAATAAAATCAAAGACCACTGGGGCCTCTGTGGAGGCTAGGGACAACCCTTCTGTCCACTCCTTATTAAAGAGCTTAATCTTGGGGCAACCTGGTCTTGACCAGCCCAAAGTACTCTTCTCCATTTCTCCCAGAAAAAAATATCATGAAAAGAAGATTCCAAACTTAGGGCTTAAAGCAAAGGTGACAATTAAGGTCTCCAAGTCCCTCTCTCATCACATAAAGCACGCTCACAAAGTCTACTTCACAGGAAGCTGGTTCTTGATGCCTACATGTTGAATGAACATGGTGATATAATAATTTGCATTTTTAAGTTTGCTATTTTTTAATTCAACATTTTATCACAGCCATTTTCATGTGTGGCTACTTAATCATCTTAATGACATTGTTGACAGCTCTAAAGTATGTGTGTGGCTTTACACTGAGCTGCTTCTCAGGGCAAACACCTTTGAGCATGGACTACTCGCTCATGCAGGGTTATCCTGGGAAAGGTTTGCTTATTTCAATTGCTCTAGGGCTTGCCTCTTCCAACTAGCCCCTTATTTCAGGATGAGTCTGTCCCTGTGACTTCTCTGCACAAAATCCATTTCACTGCAGTCACAGCCAGGGACAAGGCCTGTACTATGAACCGCTAGGAATGGGAAAGAAGGAGAGGCAGATGTGAGGAGAGCAGGAAGGGACCACAGGCAAGCACTATCAAGTATCTCTTCTCTCACGGGCTGGTCCCTGGGCCTGCAGCCACAGACTGGTAGGAAATTAGAAAACAGAAAAGAAAGTTCTTTGCAATTTCCCTGTGATTGAACCAAGTCTTTGTATCTGTTGTGTTAGCCTACAAGTGCCGCCTGGGTTGAAGTTCCCACCAGGATGCTCTCATGCAAGGCTCTCGGGCCAGGGAACAGGAAGACCAGCTTCCAATCCCATCTCTCACATCTGTGAGCTCTGCAGTCTCCTGGACCTTAGACACACCATTTATAAAATGGGGATAGCAACACTGTCTTACAATTTGGTTGGTAAATATTCAGTACAGCCCTGTTTTGAGAGCTCTCAGGTACATGCGAGTGAACAAGAGAGCCAGGGTCACTGTCCCTGAGGAATCTGGGAGCAAATCAGTTGTCACAAGCTGTCATGGGCTAAATCTGACCCTTGAGGCATGTGGTTGTGTCCTTGCTGTGTTTCTTTAGGATTATTAACATGACATGGATGGCTTCCCTTGAGAAATTGGACCCAGGAAGACAAGGTTAATATGTTTACACCAGCGCCTGGGTATGTCTGCAGAGATGGCTGTGCCTATCAGCTTCCCACCATGCCACCCACCAGCTTCCCTGGGACAGGCACGGCCTCTAGGCGTCTGTGACGGAAGTCTCTGATCTAGACTGTGCACATGACAACTTGAATGTGCCCTGCAGAGAGGAACCTCTGCTGCTTTGGAGTTTTTCTTGCATTAACACAAATAGTTGTGATTTCAGGTGTTAGAACTGTGAGAAATAGCTCTCAGTCCCAAAGCTGCGGTGAAGAAGTTTTGCCCAGGAATCTCTTAGGTTAAATGCCTGTTTCGCTAGTAACTAGGTGCCACCAGGGCAAGATGGTCTTGTCAGCTGCTGAACCCTCAATACTCAGAGGAATGTCTGCTACTTCATATCTTTCAAAATGTTCAGTAACATCTTAGTAAATGTTTCTTTAATGATATCTAAAGACAACACTGATACTTTTTTTCCAGAGTAGCTCTAGTAAGCCTATGATATGACCTTGTACTGAAAATCCTACATCCATAAGACATTAAAACAGACCCTAGTCCATTCGAAGTCTCCAATGTGCTCAATAATAACCTGCTTGGCCTCCCAGGCTGGAATCATTCTCCAGAGCACCAGGGGCTTCTTAGGAAGCACACCCCACATGTTCCCTCCTTGGAGAGAGATTGGTGCGATGCTAGGTGAATAGATTTCAGACGTGACAGTTTGTCCACCCGAAGGACATTTTCTTTATGTGCTTCCACAGGATACTATATACCCCACACTTTGGCCTATTGCTGTTATCACTTATGACTTAGTACAAATGAAAATTAAAGTAACACTTAACCCCTATTAGCACTTTATGATTGCTTAAATTCTTTTTCTGTCTAATTTACCTATTCAATAAGAAATTTGTCCCACTCTCTGTTTCCATGTCTCACAGACTGAGTTACAGTCAGGGTGGTTTGCTGCAGCAATGTTCTCAGGGTGTGGGGTGGGCAGAGTCACAGGTATGGAGCTGTTTTTTTCTTTACATTTAAACAGCTCTCAGCCATTTTGCCCACTCGAGTTTTGATGCCCGTCATGTCCACTTTTGGCTTCCCCTTCTCTGTGATTGCTCGGTGCTGCCATGAACCTCATCCTTACTGATACCTTTCCTCCCATTTACAGCTCACAGATTCTAAATTAGAGGCCAGCTAAGAGAAAATGAAGCAGCCTTGAACATGGGTTTAGACTGTATGAAAATAAGACAAAGGAGCAGCATCCATGTGAGCGGCACCCAGGGTCTACTCAGGCTCTCCCCCTGTCCCTGCTTTTTATCCTCCAGGTCACTAGATGCACAAGGTTATGCTACATGTAGCATTTTTACAAGGGCATTGATGTGGCGTGTGGCTGCCTAATATACCAAGAAGAGGTTTCCATAATTTTGACGTGGTTTGATATTCAGTAATATGTAACACTTAAAAAGTGGTCTCACATGGGGCAACGGGATGGCCAAAGGTGTTGAGCTCACCCGTCAGACCTGGCTGTTTCCTTGCTAGACTGAGGCAATGTGCAGGCCAAGGCCTGTTTTCCTGCTCTTGCTTCTCAGCTTCCCCAACATTCAATGTTCCATGACAGACTTCTGCCTTCAGCTTTGTGGCAATGTTTTTGTGTAACTCACCCTCTTTGCTCTCAAGTCTACAGAACATAGCCCAAGGTATTTTTTTTTTATGGAAACAATACCTCTTTTTATTTATTTTTACGTGGTGCTGAAGATCGAACCCAGTGCCTCACATGTGCTAGGCAAGCTCTGTACCACTGAGCCACAACCCCAGCCCCAAGGTGATTTTTAAAAGACTCACAAGAGCTTGCACCATTATGTGGGGTTTCCATGGATCTTTCCCCAGCTCCCCACCCCCCCCATGGTATCTTATGTAACCATCACACATTGCTAAGCTTAAGAAATCAACACTACTGAGTTTCTATTGACTCAGGTATGGACCTTATTTAGATTTGATCGCCTTGCACGTGTACTTTGAAAGCCTTTTATAAGGTAGGACCACCTTGGGAAGCAAGACTAAGAAAGACAAGCCAGAATCTTCAACAAGAGATTTAGGATGAAAGCAGAGAGAGATTAGATATATATGAATGTTTGTGACTTTTGAATGGGAATAACTTTTGATCCATCACAACAAATCTCATTATTGCTCTTATTTTTCACCAAGGGAAAACCTGGTGCTTTGGGACGCCCTGGTGACAAAGGAGCCAAGGGTGACATGGTTGTATCCAGAGTTAAAGGTGAGTAGGATCAGTCACTTATCCCCCAGACATTTATGAATGACATATGGTCCATGATTTTGCTTTTATTTCCCTTATTTCAGTTCTGTATAATTTAGGACTGTTGAGATTACCTAAAAAAATATTTCTTGCCCTTCATAGAGCAGTGTGAATGTTTAGTTCCAAATCTCCTGTCTTACTTGAAAACATCAATGTTTCTTTAGTCACATACTCAAATCCTCATTGTAGTTGAACTTGGGTTTGAAACCAAACCTCCTTTGAATTGCCTTCTCTTTGCTCCTGCATTATAGTCTCCTGTGTTAGTCCAGAGTGTTTTAATTGTAACCAACATTTAGCATGGAGCAGTTTCGGGAGAAGGTAATTCACTGACTTACCTGAACAACATGTGAAAGGCTAGGTGGTGCACACCTGTGACTCCAGGCTGAGGAAAGAGGATAACATATTTGAGGCCAATTTAGGCAATTTATCATGAGCCTGTCTCAAGATAAATAAATAAAAAGGGCTGGGTACTTAGTTCCGTGATAAAATGATTTAATTCCCAGTAACACACACACACACACACACATGTACACACAAACGAGGGAGGGAGGGAGGAAGAGAGAGAGAGAGATTCAAATGGTTACACAATTGTCATTTCCCCTCTGGCTTTGGCATGGTTAATGTGACTGTCAACAACTGAGACACTCAGGAAACTCTACCAACCCACATAAGGGTAGAGCCATTGTTTTAATCTTTAGTCCAAGTTTTCCTTCTACTTACATCCCTGCTGATAAGAATTCAAATGTCCTTTGGCCTCCGTTTCTAGGGCACAAAGGAGAAAGAGGGCCTGATGGGCCCCCAGGGTTTCCAGGAGAGCACGGACAACATGGTCAGGATGGACATGCTGGAGAAAAGGGGGATCCGGGACCCCGGGTATGTGCACTTCTCCTGC